CAACTTCAATTTTAGCTTCAACAGACTTGATCTTTTCAGAATGCTCTTTAAATTTATTTGAATTGTTTATAGCAATGCTATTATAACAGTTTGAGCAAACTATGTCGCCTAATTGAAGATAACTTGGCAAAGTATAGTTAGAGTGGGCTTTAGAAAGAAAACTTTCAGAAACCCTTCTCTATTGAGTTAAAGCTTTTTGGCAAATAGCAATAACACATGGTCTAGTAAGTCATGGCATATTTTTCTTTTTAAATAAGTGTTTTGTTATATTTTTATTAATTTTGTATAGCGAAGATTAACACTTTAAAAGCTAAAAAGACTTGAAAAGTTGAATAAAGTACTTTAAACTGTATAAATTATGTATAAATTACGCAATTGATCAAATGAAATTTGATTAATTAATTATTACGGAGACTCATAGGTAGATCTACAAAAATTAGCAAATCAGACTAATGTTTTACTATAAGAGTTAAAACTCATAGTCAGATATTTGTTTGATTGGCTAATGTAAATCAATTGCCCAGGTAACTTATTTATACACTTTAAAGTACTTTTTGGAAACATAACATTTCACTAATAAAAAATCACTATAAAAGCCATTTTTTACTTTGAAAGAACATTTATATTCACTATACAAAAATAATCAAAAATAATCATTAACCCCGAGAACTTTATTTAGAAGACAAAGTATGCCTACCATTTATTGGACCATATTGTAAAGTGAAAGTAACTGGAAATGTTTTCATCTAAAGCTATTTTATTATGTTAGATTTAGATAAACTTTTACTTTTAACTATCTAATTTGAATAGGTACAAGCTCTTAGTAGTAGAAGATCTGGGCTTAATATTTAAATTTGGTCAGTTTTTATAGTGTATTTTGGCTTGTTAACCATATATTAATAGTTGTAGTTTATGTATTGTATGTAAGATCTTGTATGTAGATTCTTTAATAAGTTTGGGTTTATTAATAATAAACATCACATTTACCTACTTTACTCGTATCTATCTATTCTATAAATATAAGTAATTCATTCTTTTGTGTGTATTTATTAGTTTGTAGGCTTCTTTATTCAAAGTTTTGTTTTGTTTTCTAGTACTGTAGTATTAATAAAATTATAGAATTTGATTGGTTAATTATCACGGCCAATCATGGGTAGAACTACCAAAATTAACCAATCATATGAATGTCTCCCTATGAGGTTAAAACACTAATTAAACCAATAGACCAATTGACAAATTATGAGTAGACATATTGTCTATTTATTAGATAGATCAAAAACGACATTTTGGATGACCGGAATTTACTATATGTCGTTTCTCAACCAAATTGAATAGACATTACAATTAAAACCATTTTTGAATAGACTATGTCTATTCACAACCTTGCTAACTGGTTACACTGATGTAACCACACTCTACCTATTATAAAAATAAATTTGTTTTGATAAGCGTGATGGAAGTTGGTTTTTATTGGTTGTTTATTTTCTATTGAAAAGTACCATTACACGAACTTTTTATATTGGTTTATAATAGAAAATTCAATTCGAATTGGAACAAGTCAAAAATTTTTATAATTAAAGATTACTTAAAATTTCGCCAGATTGTTTTTTTAGAAGTATAGCTTTTATATAAACGTTTGGGATTAAGTGAGATCAAGTTTTCCACCAACTTTTACTAGAAGCGATTCTGACAATGCCAGTATGTAACACAAAGAAATTACATTAAATTTTTGGCATTTTAAAACGAAACATCTAATAAAAATCTACAGTTTTTTCGATTAAAAGTTTCTAACTTCACGTGAGCAAGTTAAAGTGTTAGATATTATCAATCGATCAATCAGTTTTACAAAAAAACCATAATAATAAAGGGGTATTGCGAGATAACGTGAGTTTAATCTTTAGTTTTAACCAATCAAATTTTATTATTTATAAAATGTTGCTCATTTTTTTGGCCAATCAAAACAAATGCTGTTTTGATACCCTTTATAAAATAAAATTTGATCCAATTTTTTTCATTACATCCTACATGGCATCAAGTAAGTACACAAAATAGCGTATTAACTTAGAAAAGTAGCTTTCTTTATACATTTCACCAACCGGAGTAGTGTACACATTTCACCCACAAACCGAAGTAGTGCTTTTTTTTTTTTTCGTTATACCACATGCACCCACCAACCGCGTAGTGTTTTTTTTTTTCGTTTACCGCACGCACCCACCAAACCGCGTAGTGTTTTTTTTTTTTTCGTTTACCGCACGCACCCACCAAACCGCGTAGTGTTTTTTTTTTTCGTTTACTGCACGACCCACCAAACCGCGTAGTGTTTTTTTTTTTTTTCGTTTACCGCACGCACCCACTAAACCGCGTAGTGTTTTTTTTTTCATTTACCGCACGCACCCACCAAACCGTGTAGTGTTTTTTTTTTTTCGTTTACCGCACGCACGCACCAAACCGCGTAGTGTTTTTTTTTTTCGTTATAACGCACGTCACCCACCAACCGGCGTAGTGTTTTATTCATTATACACTCTTCACCCAGTTTATTTTTATTTTTAATTTTTAATTTTTAATATTTTTAATTTTTAATTTTTAATATTTTTAATTTTTAATATTTTTAATTTTTAATTTTAATTTTAATTTAATTTTATTTATTTATTTTTCTTTATTACGTAATTTTACACAATATACTTTCTAACAAAGTAATTTTTTTTTTATTTAGCCTCAGGATTAAAAAGATCAAGAGCCTTTTGCTGTCCAACTGAATGTTTGGGGTTTTTTTTTTGGAGAAAAACGAACAAATCTTTGTGGAATTACTATAAAACAATTGGAACCAATTTTCAAGACAATTCCTATCATAATTGAAAAAAATTTAACATTTCATTTCTTAAAAAAAACCCCGAAGCGAAGTAAAATATCAATTTTGCAGATTTGTGAAATTTAATTTTTAATTAAATTGTGAATTAAATTGTGAATTATAATTTGATGCTTTTATTAGTAGTGTTGGCACTTGGACTATGTCCAATAAAAAATTTTATTTGGACTTGGACAAATATAGATATGGACTAGTCCAAATAGTGTCCATGTTCATATCTTCTTTTTACCGATTTTTCTGGGATATTTCGGACTTTTACCCTAATTTTGGCTTATTCTTCCGGAATATTTCAGAGTAGCAAGCCCACGTGTTTGATTTGGACTCAGTGCCTTATGTCCAATGGTTCATATTGCCCATGTCCATATTTTGCCAACACTGTTTATTAGATTTGGTCATATCCATTTTAGGTCCGTGAATGAGGCATCAATTTTTTTAATAGAATGAAGAACGAACTAATTGATGTCCGAACGGCACTTCCATTCAGTTTTCTCAATCAAAAGATGAAAGTGATAGCTATGTCAGTTATAATTCACAGGTCAAATAGAATTTCGAAACTAATTATTTTTTTTAAAATGATTTTTGTCGACTTTTATATACAACTAATAAACTTTTGTTTTAGGAAATTCCGGATAAAAAGCATAAAAAACATCTCATCATACATGAAATTGAGAATCAGGTCCCGAATAAGGCCCCGAATCAGATCCCAAATCAAAAAAAAATTCTCATATACTTTTGAATCAAGAAAATCCGCAAGTATCGTTGAATAAAGAAAATCCGCAAGTGTCATTGAATCAAGAAAATCCGCAAGTATCATTGAATTTTCATATTTTTATTTTGTTTCTTTTTTATTTACGATTTTATTTATTTTATTTTGAAGTGATAAATATATAATCGTAATTCAAGTACCTGGTTTACGCAAATAAAAGTGAACTTTCTATAATCCCGAAAACTTCTAAAGATTTCTGGTAAATTGATTAAACCGTATCATCCGGGGTCGATAATCAAAAGCACATATGTTTCTGGTCCTTTTGCTAGTCAACTTTATCTCGAGGAAGAGTAAGTGATAAAATACAAAATTTGTCTCTTTTATTGCTTTTTTTTAAATATATATATAATTTACATTTTTTTTAGTATTAATATAAATCCCAAAGCAACCACATTCACTATAGACAGTGAAATCGCTACCATAATTTTTTCAAAGGTTCAATATATCAATTTAATTGATTAATGAGGGGAATTTTATTATGTTCGTCACGTTTTATTAGTGAATCAAAGAATTTGAAACTGAAGCAAAAGATTTAATCACTATGTAATGTGAATGTTAAGTTGGTTATAAACGCATAAAATGCATTAATTTGATAATATAATAATAAAATTTTCAAATTCTAATTGCTTTATAAAAAAAACGTGAATAGAGATAGTCTTGGTCAAATTTTTTGTAATAGTTTGATCATGATTAAATTTATATTAATTTTCTTATTATAACGTGTATTTGCCAATATTCTGGAGAAAAATATTTCGAATATCGTAACTTATGCTATAGCTAATGGTTATAAAGAAGTGAAAGGGAAATAATATACTTTTATTTGAACACAGTTCAGATAGAAATAAGGTTAGATATTTTTGAAAAAAGTGGAATTTTCGAATTTCATTGGATAAATTTTCTAAATTTACCCAAAAGTATGATACCCGGATACAGCTTATAAAGTTAGCAGGTTTGTAAAATTAAGTACTGAAATTTTTATCTAAGATCGCTAAGTTGGCTTTCTTAATAAAATTTTGATATTAACGATTTTTGATTTTTCTTTCTTATACCGTGTATCAGTACAAATAGACTGTTGGATAATTGTACAGTACGTATAAAGTTTTAAATTTTTTAATTGGTGCCAATTACTTCGGCTGATCAATGCACCACTGCATTTTTTGTCACAAAATTACGTAATGATATTTTTATTAAAGTGTTTGACATTTAATATGTTTTATACTGTATATATTCATACATCACATCTACGTATGGTTAAATGCATATATTTTTATGGTAATAAAAAATAACATAAAAAGCACCATAATTTGGCATTTAAATTTTAAAAACATTCAAATTCATCGTTATTAACATAAAAAAAACATAATAATAATGGCATATCCAGATTCAGATTTAACAATTCCATTTGCAACAATTTTTACAACATTTTTGTTATGGTTTGTTTCATTGGTACCAATTAGAATTGCTCAATCGAAACATGAAGAAGGTTATGATAATTCACACCCAAGAGAGCAATATTCAAAATTGGTGAGTAAATTTCTTTTTTAATTGTAATGTTTTTTTGTTTTTTTTAATAAAAAATTATTTTCTTCAACATAAATTAGTCCAAGTGGGGACAACGAGCGGTTGCAGCATCAAATAACACATTTGAAGGATTATGTTTCTTTAGTATTGCAGTATTCACATACGCGTTCTCACAATTAAGTAATTTAAATGATAGCAGTAAACATAAGCCAGTTCGAATAGCAGCAGATGTTTTTTGCATAGCTTTTGTAATCTTTAGAGTGGTATGTACTTACGAATAATTGTTCTATGAAATGAGATTATTGAATTTTATTTTATTTATTTTATTATTTATTTTTTATAGATTTATCTCCCTCTTTATTGGTACGATTTA